AGTAGACAAGATTAACCGGTAGAGAAGATTTTTGCGGTTTAAAAACAAGTGATTTTAAGCCGTTGAAATGCAATCAGCAGCAAAACAGAACTCATTTTGTTATATGCGCAATGTCTGAGAGACTGTTTCTGAGCACTGTCAGAGAAGCGCGTGCACTTGAAGACGGAGCTCATAGAGCGCTGGCGTATTGAGTTATTTTTTGCCACTTGAATGGTTAAATACACACTTGTATGTGTCAAAATGCCCGTATTTGCAAGTATCCTCATAAACACAGTAATTTAGGTCTTAAGTGAAAGCAAACAACTAAGAAAGAAAATGTGTAACTGTATAATGGATCCGGGCAGCTCTTAAATTGACAGCAGTCTAATATTCCCGCTGTCTGTCATTCATGTTAATCAAACAACAAAAGAGAGAAAATCTCTCACAGCTCTTGACTAAATCACTTTTGCAACTTTAAAAAGAAGAAATATATATTTAATTTACACAGTGAAGAATATGCAGTGTTTTTTATACATTTGATTACTTTATACAATATATGTAGCATTTCTTATTTATTTGTTCTACTGTAGTTTTTTGTCCTATTGCTTGTAATCAGTTTCTACCAGTAGACAAGATTAACCGGTAGTGAAGATTTTTGCGGTTTAAAAACAAGTGATTTTAAGCCGTTGAAATGCAATCAGCAGCAAAACAGAACTCATTTTGTTATATGCGCAATGTCTGAGAAAATGTTTCTGAACACTGTCAGAGAATGCGTGCACTTGAAGACGGAGCTCATAGAGCGCTGGCGTATTGAGTTATTTTTTGCCACTTGAATGCCCGTATTTGCAAGTATCCTCATAAACACAGTAATTTAGGTCTTAAGTGAAAGCAAACAACTAAGAAAGAAAATGTGTAACTGTATAATGGATCCGGGCAGCTCTTAAATTGACAGCAGTCTAATATTCCCGCTGTCCGTCATTCATGTTAATCAAACAACAAAAGAGAGAAAATCTCTCACAGCTCTTGACTAAATCACTTTTGCAACTTTAAAAAGAAGAAATATATATTTAATTTACACAGTGAAGAATATGCAGTGTTTTTTATACATTTGATTACTTTATACAATATATGTAGCATTTCTTATTTATTTGTTCTACTGTAGTTTTTTGTCCTATTGCTTGTAATCAGTTTCTTATTCTTATTTAATCGTTGACTGTTTACTTGTCTTCAGTGAGCTTGAGTTTTTTTTTTTTTTTTAATTTAGGCTAGTATTACTTTTTTTGTGATATTGACACAGGTGACAATAATTATGAAATTTCTATGGTATCAAAAATGTTATATCATAAAAGCCTTATTTAAAGCAAAAATAACAATATAGTGAGATGTATCGTTATCATGAAATAAAATTATTACTCATATAGTGACATATCTCCCACTCCTAGCGCGTATGTGTATTAGGGTCATAATACCAAAACCGCAGTTGCTAAAACCAATACTAGTGATACAATATTTTTAGACAGAACTGAATTGACATTTCAAATACAAACATACATATATAAATTAGTCAAAGATATTTAAAATAAGACTTGTGGGATCTTAGATCTTATACCTATAATGGCATCAGCAATGAAGACATGGAAAAGGCCGTTACTGTAGAAACTGAGCTCAAAGAGTGCAGGTACAGTGTTGCTAGGGGCGATGATGAACTCGGTGTTTCTGTTGGTGCTGGTGACATTCACACAGTTTCCCAGAAGGCTGAGCGCATGCATGACCACGTCCTCTGAGTTCCCAGAAAAACCCAGGTCGAAGTCCCGTGACAAGATCTCTTCCTTCATATTGAAGAAATCCTCCACCAGTTTAGACAGCAGTACACCCTGTCCCATCACAAACATTTGTTACAACGATTATAAACCAATAAATTGGACCAAAGAAAGAAGGGTTGCCATGATGTGTGCTGCATAGGAAGTGAGGACGGTACTTACCTGTCTGTGCCGATACAGGAGGAGACAGGCCACGATATGAGTGGACATTATTGCTGATGACTTGCTGGCGGCTATAGGAAACACAGAAGGCAATAATTAGACCGAATGTCAATGAAAGTGAGTTAAACCAAAGCCAAAGCTGAAAGTGATGCCAAAAAATCTGACCCTCAAGGATGAAGGTGCCTTAATATGTAGAGACAAATATAAACATCCATTTGGGAGCTGACTTTTGAGAAAATTATAAATCCTGTCTCTCAAACAGTCCTCATTTTTCTAATTTCCATAGAAATTGTACACTTCACCCTTAAATTCTCTGATGAAGGGAAATGAAAGAACACTATTTAAATTCATAACTGCATGATCTACAAACTCCATGACATTGTCTGTGAGCTTAAAAACATCTGAAAGTATCTGAAATATGCTGTATGAAGAAAAACAGGGTGACTTTGGAGCTGAAAACCGGGTTCATGACAGTGTCTATATTAAACATTCAAAAGCAAGCTGCAATTCCACCTCAGATTGCCGATCCTCTGACCTCCTGTTCTCAAAAAAGTAGCAACAACAAGGCATTCAAAAACCTTGTTTGAGGAAAGTGACTGGCCAAAAGCAACACATCACCATGGTAAAGACTGTGACCTGAAGTAACCTGCATAAACTGTCAGCTATGGATAGAGAAAACGTGTCTGAAGCATATTTCACCATATTTGTACTGTATATTTAATATGTATATATAAATACACATGCATGCATTTATTTCACATAAATATGCTGTGTTTATATATTAAGTATATTTATATATAATATAAATTATATGAATATAAATATAGACATGTAAATATTTTCAAAATATATCCTGTATGTGTATTTATATATACATAATACAGTACATACAGATATATTATGTAAATAAAAACTTATTTTGGATGCGATTAATCGTTTGACAGCACTAATTATATAAAAATATGTTGTGTTTATATATTAAGTATATTTATATATAATATAAATTATATGAATATAAATATAGACATGTAAATATTTTCAAAATATATTCTGTATGTGTATTTATATATACATAATAAATACAGTACATACAGATATATTATGTAAATAAAAACTTATTTTGGATGCGATTAATCGTTTGACAGCACTAATTATATATATACAGTATATATATACCGCGTGCATAATTATTAGGCACGTTGATATTCTCATATCAGCACATTTTACCAATTCCAAACCACATCAATCTTAATAACTACTATTGATTTTGTATTTAATCATTTATAAGTGATATATAATTGTCCATGAAGACTGGAAGTGGAAAAACTCCTTATATTCAGGTGTGCAGAATTATTAGGCATATTTTCTTTTACAGATAAAATGAGCCCAAAAAAGAGGTTTGTAAGCTCCTAAAACTTACTGGCAGATTCTGGAAGATAAATTCTTCAAACAGTGGTACAAGAGGATGTGATGCTGGTCCTTATATGTCCATAAAGCCTATTCAAAAAATCAGTCTTAATGTATTTCACAATACTTCAGCATGTTATTCTTATTAAGTGAGGGTAATTTTTTTTAATACCTCACATTAATTCTTAAATCTTTTGGTTAACGTGTCTTTTCTTCTCCACCTGTTTTTTCTGACCCCGCTGTCCCAGTGAGCAATGGTCATGTCTTAACTTCGCAATTTCTGTATTGCATTAGTTTTTAATATTTCTCATGGGGATTTAATCATTTTTGACTTTTAGTCTGAGTTAAATCTCTTTTTTGGCTCATTTTATCAGTATAAGAAAACATGCCTAATAATTCTGCACACCTGAATATAAGGAGTTTTCACTTCCAGCCTTCATGGACAATTATATATCACTTATAAATGATTAAATACACAATACATAGTAGTTATTAAGATGGATATGGTTTGGAATTGGTAAAATGTGCTTGGGAAAAAAATATCATCAGAATATCAACGTGCCTAATAATTATGCACACGGTGTATATATGTACAGTATGTATATGCCATAACCATACTATCCAAAAAAGGTTGGGAAAAACATGTTCAATGGAAATATATATATATATATATATATATATTTTGCATAAAGACAATTAAAGAAAATTCCATGACCAATAATGAAAATACGATGATTAAATAAAAATGGTATTATATTTTAACACAGTATTTTAATAAAGGTAACGCAACAAAACAACATATTTAAATTGTATTTATACATTTTTCTGTATATATATTTTTTTAAAGTGTCTGACATATTGATTCTCATTACTGCATTACAGTAATGAGAATATAACAGGAATCATTGAGAATAATGAGAAAAAAAAATTGGGGAAAATGTACACCGATTAACAGGTCCTAAAATTTGATTTTCTTATATCTATTTTGTGAAATATTCAATTCAGACATGTTCTTGTAAAGCTTTGTTAAATTCACTCACTAGTTGTTTGAGAAGAGGCTTTGGTTTTCTTTGGCAATTATGATGTTAGAAAGAGACTTTTTGCATCTTTTTGATCTGAACAATGAGCCCATGTATTCAGATTTTTATTTTGTATGTCAGTGATTCTGTAGGCCATGATATACAAGCAAGTTTTCCAGACAGGTGAGAGATGAGCAGCACTGCCATTTTTCATTTTACAATTGCTGACCCCACATAAACAGTGATTTTACCCAATCCACCACCGTCAATGCTTCAAAATTCACCCACTACCTAAGAAACTATTCATGTATCATGGCCTTTTAAAGTGCCCTTACTGAAGAGAACATGCTTGGCCAGGTTAGCGATGACCTGCCTCCTCCAGGGCTCATCTGACAGGTCTCTAGAATTCAGATGATCCTCATCTTCTCCATTAAAAACAGCCTGATCAGGTCTGCAAAGAAAAAACATAATTGAACATAATCCCATTAGCCACACACATCTTTCTACATACTAATAAACAGCAGTCCACATGATTATGTTGGTTGCTGGCAGTCTAAAGGCCATACTGTGCAGCGACGATGGTGGGGAGAAGGATCTGCTCCAGCGTGAGAGAGGTCTGGAGATGGCGACTGCGCTGTGTGTCTAGGTATTCCTAAAGATATGGAGAAGAAAGATCCAGACATCAGGGGAGAGATCCGCTATGTATTCAGTCAATCTGAGATCAGATGAGCTCCTCTGACCTTAAGGGAGAAGGGCTGTGTGAAATCCACACGCACACAGCCGTAATTCTTCCGGAGCATCCTGAACACGCCACAGGCAATTCCCCATAGACTCTCATTCTTCTTAGGTTTGCCCTGAAGTGAGGAGAACAGCGGGAACATTAAGCAAAGACCGATGACAGAATTTGAATAGAATAATAAAAAAAACATGGTAACTAGATACTACACTATTAACTAGATGCTTATTAGCATGCCTATTATTACATATTGGCTGTTTATTAGTATTATAAAGCCATATTCTGCATGCATGACCATATTCTACATCCCTAATCCTACCCAATACCTAAACTTAACAACTACATTACTAACCATTAATAAACAGCCAATTAGGAGGTTATTAAGGGCAAAAGTCGTATTTAATGGTTTGTTAATAGCGAGACTTGGAGCTCAAAATAAAATGTGACCAAGAACATTTGGCAGTGAACACAAATACAACAGTTTTTAGCTAAAAGGTGCATAGCATGAACACAGGCTTTTCCTTTAATGTATTATGTAGACTAGAGTTGCACAAAACATCACAATTATATCAGTTATATTTGAAAATTTTGTTGTGAACACTACTTTATACCCATTTTTATTACTATATTAGTAATAATAAAAACAATAATGACTATCATTACTATTATTATATAAAAAAGTCAACATAATAAAAAAAAAACCTGTGCGTGTTCCATGTTCCATAAAATATATATTTTTTATATAATTAAAGGGGTCATATGATGCGATTTCAATTTTTACTTTCTCTTTGGAGTGTTACAACTCTTGGTGCATAAAGAAGATCTGTAAAGTTGCAAAGACTAAAGTCTCAAATCCAAAGAGATATTCTTTATAAAAGTTAAGAGTCAACCACGCCCTCCTAAAACGGCTCGTTCTAACATGCCCCCATACATATCTACGTCACGATGTAGGAAGATTTGCCCAAAATGTTCATGCAAAGAAAGGTGGCGTAACTTTTATTCTCGCTGTAGTATTGTTGCCGCCGCCGCCTGTGTTTCGTTGTGAAAGCGAAACTACTTTGTTTGGCCTTCCAAAAATTGACACGACTAGAAATCAGTGGTTAAGTTGTATTTACAACACTGTTCCAGAACAGTTTAACCCAAATATTCAGATGTGTGCAGCACATTTTATGGAGGACTGTTTCCTGATCCTGGTAGAGTAGACTACAATGCCGGCTGTTCTGACTCACGGACTGCAAGTACGTTTTTTTATATTTAAAGAATTTTCCACTGACGATTCAAACGTGAGTTTTTTGGGCAGTGTAGAGTAGGGCTTGTTGTTTGTCATTTCTCCGATCACAAATGCAGACATGGTTTTATGTTTACGCGGCGCGATGCAACGTGTAAAAAGACGTAATTATGTCTCCACTAAATGCAACAAATGCCTAGTTTTTAATGGGTTTTAATGTTTTTGTCTTGTCATGGGCATCGTATGACCCCTTTAATCATTAAATTACACTAAAATAAAAATACCATAATCTTTTATGTAACAAAAAGTTAGCTACATAAAAACTGGGGAGAAAAAAACAAAAAAACTTCCATAAACCATTCTTTTATGGAACACAAAACATTTTTTAAGTTTTTATATAATATATAATTCTACGGGTCAGAGTGTCTGTTTTTGATTCAAAAAACTTTGAGTGACAATATGAGTGAACTTAATATCGACTTCCTGTTGGATATCCCCACATACCAGCTGCTCACTGTTGTAGTTTCCCTCTATAATGCGGTCATAAGAGATGCCTACAGGCACGATCAGAACATCAGGGATGCTGTTGGCACAGAGTACGTCAACCACAATTGAGAGCATGCCCGCACGTGCTGGAGACGGCTTCCCACTGCGAGAGCGTGTGCCCTCTAAATACACCTCCAAAAACTGCTGCTGCCGCAACAACTCTTCCGTGTACTGAAATTGAGAGGGAAACAGAAGAATAACCCACCACGAATATTACAATCCTTAAGATCCATGACCCTCCCTTTGCAAATTCCCTGTAATTAAAACAGCCCATTGTGGTAATGTGGTGCTCAACAGGAGACAGCACGAATAATGCAGGAGTAATCCATCAGCTTCCTGTGACAGCCACCTCTAATCACAAGTCTCTCTACAGTCTCTGCAATGACAATCACCATGTCACTTTAACAAAAGCACTACAGCAGACCATATTACAGCTGCTCTAGTTTCCTGTCGCTCACAAGATAATATCCTACCTAGGGCTGCCCATCGACTAAAGATTTTTCTGGTCGACTAGTAGACGTTCATTTTAAGCCATTAGTCAACTAAACGCACATTTATATGAATAAATAGGATAAATATAATTAATGAGCCTTTAATTGCCTATAGCCTATCAGCGCTCAATCGCACGCATAAAGTACACCAGCTGAAATAATGATTATGAATGCGTCAAGAAAAAAAAACAGCAAGACGACTGCCTTAACTTTATAATAATCCATTGATACGTGTTTTCTGTATTTTCTGCAGTGGACGTGCACATTTCATACAGATTACATAATCTAAAAGTATTTATTTTCTTTTAAAAGTAGACATTTTCTATAGATATATTTTTGCATGACTTCGCCACTTCCTGTGGAATCTTTTTTTCTGCGATTAAGTGAAATTTTGATCGACTAAGGTCTTCTGGTCGACTATTAGGGGACAGCCCTAATCCTACCACACGTAGCTACTACATGCACACTTTTTTTATTTGCAAAGTAGCCAAACTGAAACTCCAAGCCATTTTCTCTGAAATAGAGAGCAAGTACCAGAGGTTTGACCCAAAAAATTTTAACAGTAATGTATGTGCACTAATAGTAAGAGCGGAGGAGTTGGTTCCTCTGAAGGTTTTTTCCCTTCACTACCTAAAATCTTCGGTAGTTTCCTTGCCATGTCTTCACCGTGGGCTTTAGGATGTTAAGGTACAACTTGCTGTAAATCTGCTTTGAAACTTTAAAATGTAACACCGCTATACAGATATGTTGATCTGAAATCTCTGTGGACTTACTGCATGTAACAGTGATCTGTATAACACATCCTTCTTCCCGTCTGAAGTCTCATCCAGTTTACGACGAATAAAAAATCCTCCGAGTTTCCGTATTAGAGTGCTGAGGATGTACAATGTATACATACCAGTGTTATATTCAAATATCAGTTTGCCTGTCTATTGTCGAAATACTATACATCTTTAAAAAAAATTAAATGACAAGATCATCATGACTTTGTACCTTAAGATGGGGATGTTAAGGTTGTTGCCAGCTGCGATGTGAGGGGCTTTGATGTTGTGACAGAACAGGATGAAGGTGATGAGCAGGTAGTCTATGTGGGACTTGTGAACAGGAAGGAAGACCAGGGGAACATTGTACTGGAAGACACACAATAAAATGTTTGTAATACTTCAAGATAACTCTATAAATCTACACCTGTAATTGTCCACCCATTATATTACATTAAATATACATAAAAAGGTGGTGGACAGACATTGCTTGTTAATGAACTGTTTATCTGTATATCTTCTTGTAATAAGTGAGTTTGTCAACTGATGGTTGTATCTGTGGCTGTTTTGGGAATAGTTACAATATGTGTGGTAGTGCAGATAAGAAGAAATGCCCATATTGGGCAGGATGTAGATGTCTGACCTCAGATGCAGCTTTCTTCACCATCTCCAGCTGACCTTTATGGATCTGAATGCTCCAGAAGAATCCATTAAACAATTTCAACAACACCCATCCTGTTAATCTAAAAGAGACAAAGAGAAAGAAGATCTAGGATTTGTTTCTAATATACTGTATAATATACAAATCTGTATTATTTAAAGGGCACCTACTATGCAAAATCCACTTTTACATGGTGTTTGGACATAAATGCGTGTTGGCAGTGTGTGAACACAACCACCCTACAATGATAAAAATCCACCCACTCCTCATTTTGTCTCACTAGGCCTGCCGTTTTTATTCTCACGCAGTGTGACGTCACATTGCGTAGGGCCGGGCTACGGGGGTTTATTTTTTAAATTTTAATTTAGTATTTTAAATTAATACTTTGATTCAGCAAAGACACATTGAATTGATTAACAGTGACAGTAAAGATTTTTACACTGTTACAAAAAATTATATTTTGAAATAAATATTTTGAACTTTCAAATGAATCCTGAAAAAATGTATCATGGTTTCCACAGAAATATTAAGTAGCACATTTATTTTCAACATCGATATTAATAAGAAAACTTCTTGAGCACCAATTAGCATATTAAAATGATTTTTGAAAAATAATTAGCATATTAAAATGATTTCTGAATAGGGTTGGGTATCGTTTGAATTTTAATCAATTCCGATTCTGCTTATCGATTCCTAATTCCGATTCAAATAAGATAAAAAAAATCCATTAAACAAATATTTAGATGTCAAACATATGTATTCTGTTTTATGTCTACGGTTTTATCAAAAAAATACCACAGAAATAAACAACTAGACTAACAAATTTCAAACATTAAATTGTTAAAGACAAGTAAACAAATTAATTAGCAATAGCATAAATAAATAAAACTGAACAAATGTCAGGTACAGAAATTGAAATCAAAAGTTCTCGATACCCAACCCTATTTCTGAAAAATAATTAGCATATTAAAATGATTTCTGAAGAATAATTAGCATATTAAAATGATTTCATGTGACACTGACAACTGTAATAATGGCTGCTGAATTTAAAAAAAAAAATTCAACTTTGCCATTACATAAATAAATTACATTTTAATATATAATAAAATATAAAACTATTCTTTTAAGTTGTAATAATATTTCACAATATTACCGTTTCACTTCATTTTTGATCAAATAAATGCTGCCTCGGTGGGCATAGGAGACATTAAAAAGTACTTTACTACCCCCAAAATTTAAACAATATTATAATAGTAATAGAATTGATAGTTACTCCATAATTACTATATAAAAAAGTACATTTGCATTTAGATTCATCGGTTGAAGTTTTCCTTGCGTAAAATGTAGCTTTTCATTATATGAAAACTGTACCTGATGAAGGCAGGTGAGATGTTGGCAACCATTTCCTGCAGGAATCCTCTGGCCTTTCGCCTAACTTTACTGACAGCTTTAGAATCCACTCCAGACTCTGCATCTGTGCTGGCACCCTCGGATGCTACCTCCACGATAGCACTTTCCAGCCTACAGCAACAACACTCACAGTCAATCTGGATGCTATGATGCATTCCTGCTGCTTAGAAACAGACTTTACATTGCACTTGTTCCTTGCTTTTAAACACTTGGTACCTGCTGTTGTTAAGCACATTCTCCACCACATTGCGTGCAAACATGTCTTTCCGGACATCTCTCTCCAAGACAAACAGCACATAACTCAGTCTCCGTGCAAGCCAACCTCTGTGTCTGTAGTATACAAAATACATGATAGCCGAGTATAGAACGTATTAAAGAGTTATTAATGTACAGTATGTATAGTATATTTAACTTAAAGGAATATTTCAACAAAAAATTAAGAATTCTGTCATTATTTACCAACTCATTCTCATGTTGCTCCTTCTATAGAACATGAAATTAGATAAATCATGAAAAACCTTCTTAATGATTTGTTTCTGAATCAGACTGATTTGATTGACTCAATAATTCTGTTTTAGCAGTTCTCTTTTTTGTGCAATTTTTAGAGCCATTTGGTAGAATCCTTCGTGCTGATAGGCAATATCAAATTATTCCTGCTGTATTACGCACTGTCCACTTCCTCCCCTGATTGGCAGTACCAGCTCAGACCACCTTTGGTCCTTGTCATGTGATCTAGGTACATAATATCCCCTGACAAATAGTGTTAATAATTTATTTCCTGACTTTCCACTCCTCACAGAAACCTACAACCTTCCATTTGACACTTAAATGTAAACACACAGCGGGTCATTTGGGAAACTACATCTGCCCAACTATGGTATTAATGGCGTAACACAAACTAACCTAGGTTAATGAATTATACTATACAGCAAGCAACTAAGCAATGTGAGTATTCTTATGATAAATAATTAGGAAAGTGGTCATGTATTCATAGCCATCAGGTGTATAGCCAAAAGAGGTTGATGTTTACCTTGTGTGCGTTTCATTGATGTAAATCACATTACGGAGCCCTAGCGAAGGGATGCTGGGATTGAACAGCCTCTCCTGGAACACATAACTGTAGTAACTACAGATGTTTCTTACACATGTGCATTCGGTCAATATGCCAAAGCTTCAACAAACTAACCTGACTCAGGGGTGTGCAAGAGTGACAGCATCTTCCAACAAATGGTCTCTTCCTGTTCAGCAGACCCTCCTTCCATGTGGTGGTCACAGAACGAAGGACAGATGGGCTGGAGCTTCTGTCCTACATGACAAATACAATGTTTATTGTACAAAAGATCACTGCAACAAGATAAATCGTATTATTAACCTAACCTTCCAAAAACGTTCCATTTGTTGACATTAGTTATGTATTAGGTATCATGAACTAACAATTTTTTACATTTTTACTTAATCTAGGTTAACGCTACTTCATTGTTAATTTAAACAACTTGAATAGTAAGAAATAAATATTAACATATATATATAAATAAAAGCTGTAAAACGTTGTCTTTCAATTGTTTTGTTTTTTTCAACTGACATTTCTGGTACTTCTACTGTAATGACAAAACAGCTTGTTTTTGTAAACTTTATTTTATTCAAAAGGGTGGCAATAATACATTGAAAAATGTAATCAAATATTTTAATAATGAAAGTAATGATTTCAGAATTCCAGTTATTAATTGTTTTTAATTCCATCATTTATCCAGGTTTTCCAAGACTGAGGGAAATAAATAAAAATTACAGTCATTGAGGTAAGTAAATAAATAAATACATAGGAGGAAAGAAAGAACGAACGCCCGAAAGAAAGAAATCGTTTTTGTTTTGTTCTGAGTGGCTCCTTACTGGCCCAAGTCAAAATAACCTACACCACTTAAATCGAGGTTGATGTTTACCTTGTGTGCGTTTCATTGATGTAAATCACATTACGGAGCCCTAGCGAAGGGATGCTGGGATTGAACAGCCTCTCCTGGAACACATAACTGTAGTAACTACAGATGTTTCTTACACATGTGCATTCGGTCAATATGCCAAAGCTTCAACAAACTAACCTGACTCAGGGGTGTGCAAGAGTGACAGCATCTTCCAACAAATGGTCTCTTCCTGTTCAGCAGACCCTCCTTCCATGTGGTGGTCACAGAACGAAGGACAGATGGGCTGGAGCTTCTGTCCTACATGACAAATACAATGTTTATTGTACAAAAGATCACTGCAACAAGATAAATCGTATTATTAACCTAACCTTCCAAAAACGTTACATTTGTTGACATTAGTTATGTATTAGGTATCATGAACTAACAATTTTTTACATTTTTAATTAATCTAGGTTAACGCTACTTCATTGTTAATTTAAACAACTTGAATAGTAAGAAATAAATATTAACATATATATAAATAAAAGCTGTAAAACATTGTCTTTCAATTGTTTTGTTTTTTTCAACTGACATTTCTGGTACTTCTACTGTAATGACAAAACAGCTTGTTTTTGTAAACTTTATTTTATTCAAAAGGGTGGCAATAATACATTGAAAAATGTAATCAAATATTTTAATAATGAAAGTAATGATTTCAGAATTCCAGTTATTAATTGTTTTTAATTCCATCATTTATCCAGGTTTTCCAAGACTGAGGGAAATAAATAAAAATTACAGTCATTGAGGTAAGTAAATAAATAAATACATAGGAGGAAAGAAAGAACGAACGCCCGAAAGAAAGAAATCGTTTTTGTTTTGTTCTGAGTGGCTCCTTACTGGCCCAAGTCAAAATAACCTACACCACTTAAATCTCAATAATATTTTAATCCTTGGTGTGTTTCAAATCCCTCCTTTACTGGAAGTCTATGGGATTTTGGTTTGTTTTATTGTCAATGAGGTTATAAATGTAGGTGTGATCACAAGATCATAAACTACCCTCAACAGGCCTCATTATTTGAGGTATCATTCAAGTATGTAGCACAAACAGCACAGGACAAGTTACACACCGAGGTTTAATACTTAAGGTTAAGGGTTTGTTAAAATCTTTTAAGCATAAGCAACAACAGTGATGCTTTCTTTAGTGTGCCCTAGTTTCTCCATACTCACCTGGTCCTCACAGGGATGCTTCAGACAACCACTTCCTGCGTCAGGATTATTGGAGAGGAGAATGTTATCTGGACCCCCCAGAACCATGCGGACATCCATCACCTCTCTTCAAACCACACATCAACAACAAAACTGTGGGAAGGAAAGAAAAACAGAGAATAAGCAGAGGACCATTGCCGCCCTCTGTGATGTAGCTCAAAGCACGGACAAGCTCTGGTTACAGCTTTTCACAATAGATCACCGCAGCCAGCAAAATATTCCACAGAAAGCTAGAATGTGAAACCATTGTGTCTTCTATTCGACACGGCACCTCCAGCTCAGCTGCAGCTGAATACCAGGAATGTCAGATGATGCATTTCAGCCAATCACAGCAAACAAATAAGGTTCGCCAAACCTGCTGCGGTGGTTTCAGGTGAGCTGATCATTCTGACAAAGATTTCAGGAAGAACAGCAACAAAACAAGCAGAGCTTGTTCAAAGATCAGTGAATAATGGCTCAGTCTACATTCCTGATCTTCGCCGCCTTGGGATAAAGAAAACCGACAGGCTTGACAACAGCTCAAAACACACGAGACACCGTCAGCTAACCTCACGGTTGCCAAAACCGAGCGCACGTGCGACGTAAGAAGACACGGCCACTCTTCTTACCTCTGCATCTCTATCATAATGTCCTGGGTGACCTGCGGCTACATAATCTCTTGTTTTTATCTGCTGATTTGCTGACCCATGGATGATGTTATGTTAAAGCGCTACGGCCTCCCGCCTGCGGAAAACACGCTGAAATAAAAAGGGGCTGATGAAGCACACAATATATTGCAGCTGTTCAGATCAGAGGTAAACTGGAAGGGTGGTAGTCACTAGGGCTGTCACGATTATGAAATTTGGCTGACGATTAATTGTCTAAAAATAGTCACGGTTATTGTGGTTAATTGTGTTTTTATGGCTTTCTTTATATAATTGATTAATTTAAGGGTTCAGTAAATAATTATGATGTTATCTTTTAATCTTTTTGAGTTGTTATTTTGCAGTGTACGATTACATAGAGTATTTCAACTTCTAAGAATCGGCCAATACCGATCCAACACCAGCACTATTTTTTTTCTACACCACTACAAAATATCAATACTGTGTTTGTGGAACTAATGGTCCCTCATTTAAACGCAATCCACTAAATACTCACTTCCTCATTAGAGAAAAACTACATTTGAATAAAAATATATAAGCTATGAAATTAAACTAGCTGACTGTATAATTTAGCAGCAAAAACAATATCTTGAAAAAAATATATATTTTGGTGCACATAATACAATTTAAACATGTTTATTCTAAAACCACTTTAGTTTCCATATAACTATAAACTATGATAAAAGTTCATCAGCATGCATTGAATAATCCCATGTTGTAGCGCAAAAAAAATAAAAATATTGCGACCAAATGCTGAGAAAGTTAGTAGCAAAAGAGCGACCAGTGGGAAGAATGAGTCTGGAGCCCTGTATACAGTGCATGAAAGCAAACTGGTGCTCTTCTGTTTCTTTTGGTGTATGACTCCCCCTTGTCTCGTATAAAAAGCACAATAACTGCGGTTGTCTGAAACAACCGCGGTTAGATCAAATAATCGCGATTAGACGGTTATTTAATTATCGCAACAGGCCTAGTAGTCACAGCAAACCCAAATGGTGCCTGTGCTCCTGCAAAGCAATATATTTATGGAAGATGAGCTGTGGAAAAAAGCTTGTGCCAAATTGAGGGTGCAGAATGTACCCTTTGAAAACCACATGAGAGATCTTGCACATGCATAAGAAAGCTATTTGAAACTTACATATGTCTATCTTTTTAACTAACAATTGGTTGTGCCATAAAAGCACAAGGCGAGATGGAGGAACTTCATAAATTATCGACAAATTAGGCATGAAGTTTAAAAGCTCTGACTTTCATTTCCTCTTGTGGTCAAACACGGTTTACAGTTCCTGTGCTCCTGCAAAGCAATATATTTATGGAAGATGAGCTGTGGAAAAAAGCTTGTGCCAAATTGAGGGTGCAGAATGTACCCTTTGAAAACCACATGAGAGATCTTGCACATGCATAAGAAAGCTATTTGAAACTTACTATGTCTATCTTTTTAACTAACAATTGGTTGTGCCATAAAAGCACAAGGCGAGATGGAGGAACTTCATAAATTATCGACAAATTAGACATGAAGTTTAAAAGCTCTGACTTTCATTTCCTCTTGTGGTCAAACACGGTTTACAGTCGTCTCTATTATTATGGGTTCTTCTTATTTCCTCTGTGACTGCACTTCTTCAAAACACTCCATCAGCAGCACACACGGGCATTACAGAAACCGCAGTGGGACCGTTTAGTCCATTTCTAGAATACACTGAGGCCATGTTCTTGATGTTTTTCTTGAATCTTTTGTGCGTCATGGGTAGAAAAAAAAGGGATTAAGATTTTGTTTTGATTATTGCTATAGTGCAGGGATCCTCAAATCTGGCCCACGAGATCCACTTTCCTGCAGAGTTTAGCTCTAACCCTAATCAAACACACCTGAGCATGCTAATCAATGTCTTCAATGGCCAACAGAGGTTGATGTTTACCTTGTGTGCGTTTCATTGATGTAAATCACATTACGGAGCCCTAGTGAAGGGATGCTGGGGTTGAACAGCCTCTCCTGGAACACATAATTGTAGTAAGAGTCAAACTACAGATGTTTCTTAAGAAACACATGTGTATTCGGTCAATATGCCAAAAGCTTCAACAAACTAACCTGACTCAGGGGTGTGCATGAGTGACAGCATCTTCCAACAAATGGTCTCTTCCTGTTCAGCAGACCCTCCTTCCCTGTAGTGGTCACAGAACGAAGGACAGACGGGCTGGAGCTTCTGTCCTACATGAGAAATACAATGTTTATTCAACAAGATAACTTGTATTAACCTAGCCTTCCAAAAACGTTCCATTTACTGACATTAGTTATGTATTAGGTATCATGAACTAACAATTAGCAATTTTTTTACAGAATGTATTAATCTAGGGTAATGCTATTTTTTAAATATACTATTGTTCTTTGTTAATTTAAACAACTTGAAATGTTAAAAATAAATATTAACCTATATAAATAAAAGCTGTAAAACGGTGTCTTTCATTGTTTTTTCAACGGACATTTCTGGTTCTTCTGCTGTGATGACAAACCTGCTTGTTTTCAAACATTATTTTATTCAACAGAGTGGTAATACACTGAAAAATAAATTAAATATTTTATATAATAATAATAATTTCAGAATAATAATAACAATTTCAGAATTCCAGAAATTACTTTTTTTTTTATTTCCTCATTTATCCAGGTTTTCCAAGACTGTGGGAAACAAATAAAAATGACAGTTGTTGAGGTAAGAAAGTAAATAAATATGAAGAAAAAAAGGAAAGAAAGAAAGAAAGAAACTGGGTTTTAGCTGTTTTACCTTATTTTTAAACCATTTTAATCCATCTTGGTCTCTGGAATTGTGATGTTACAAATGTGACGGTTGCGGGTGGTTTCCAGGGAATTGCTAAGTGGTTGCTAGGGTGTTCTGTGTGGTTGCTTACTGGCCCAAGTCAAAATAGACCTGACCCCTTTAAGTCTCAATAATATTTTAATCCCTTGATGTAATCCCTCCTTTACTGCAAATCTATGGGGTTTTGGCTTGTTTTACTGTTAATTAGGTTATAAACTTAAATATGATCACAAGATAAAAAACTACCCTCAACAGGCCTCATTATTCGAGGTATCAAGTCTGTAGCACCAACAGCACAGGACAAATACAACCTTAATACTTAAGGTTAAGAGTTTGTTCAAATCTCTAAGCCTATATATAAGCAATAACAGTGATGCTTTCCTTGGTATGGCCCTAGTTTCTCCATGCTTACCTGGTCCTCACAGGGATGCTTCAAACAACCACTTCCTGTGTCAGGATTATTGGCCAGGAGAATGTTATCTGGACTCCCCAGAACCATGCGGACATCCATCGCCTCTCTTCAAACCACGCATCAACAACAAAACTGTGGAAAGAGGGAAAGAAAAACAGAGAATAAGAGGCAGTCCATTGTGCTCTGTGCTGTAGGTCAAAACACGGACAAGCTCTGATTACAGCTTTTCACAATAAATCACTGCAGCCGGCAAAATATTCCACAGAATGCCAGAATGTGAAACCGCTGTGCCTTCTATTCAACACGGCACCTCCAGCTCAGCTGCAGCTGAATACCAGGAATGTCAGATGATGCATTTCAGCCAATCACAGCAAACAAATAAGGTTCGCCAAACCTGCTGCGGTGGTTTCAGGTGAGCTGATCATTCTGACAAAGATTTCAGGAAGAACAGCAACAAAACAAGCAGAGCTTGTTCAAAGATCAGTGAATAATGGCTCAGTCTACATTCCTGATCTTCGCCGCCTTGGGATAAAGAAAACCGACAGGCTTGACAACAGCTCAAAACACACGAGACACCGTCAGCTAACCTCACGGTTGCCAAAACCGAGCGCACGTGCGACGTAAGAAGACACGGCCACTCTTCTTACCTCTGCATCTCTATCATAATGTCCTGGGTGACCTGCGGCTACATAATCTCTTGTTTTTATCTGCTGATTTGCTGACCCATGGATGATGTTATGTTAAAGCGCTACGGCCTCCCGCCTGCGGAAAACACGCTGAAATAAAAAGGGGCTGATGAAGCACACAATATATTGCAGCTGTTCAGATCAGAGGTAAACTGGAAGGGTGGTAGTCACTAGGGCTGTCACGATTATGAAATTTGGCTGACGATTAATTGTCTAAAAATAGTCACGGTTATTGTGGTTAATTGTGTTTTTATGGCTTTCTTTATATAATTGATTAATTTAAGGGTTCAGTAAATAATTATGATGTTATCTTTTAATCTTTTTGAGTTGTTATTTTGCAGTGTACGATTACATAGAGTATTTCAACTTCTAAGAATCGGCCAATACCGATCCAACACCAGCACTATTTTTTTTCTACACCACTACAAAATATCAATACTGTGTTTGTGGAACTAATGGTCCCTCATTTAAACGCAATCCACTAAATACTCACTTCCTCATTAGAGAAAAACTACATTTGAATAAAAATATATAAGCTATGAAATTAAACTAGCTGACTGTATAATTTAGCAGCAAAAACAATATCTTGAAATATTTTGGTATTTTGGTGCACATAATACAATTTAAACATGTTTATTCTAAAACCACTTTAGTTTCCATATAACTATAAAAAAGTTCATAAGTTCATCAGCATGCATTGAATAATCCCATGTTGTAGCGCAAAAAAAATAAAAATATTGCGACCAAATGCTGAGAAAGTTAGTAGCAAAAGAGCGACCAGTGGGAAGAATGAGTCTGGAGCCCTGTATACAGTGCATGAAAGCAAACTGGTGCTCTTCTGTTTCTTTTGGTGTATGACTCCCCCTTGTCTCGTATAAAAAGCACAATAACTGCGGTTGTCTGAAACAACCGCGGTTAGATCAAATAATCGCGATTAGACGGTTATTTAATTATCGCAACAGGCCTAGTAGTCACAGCAAACCCAAATGGTGCCTGTGCTCCTGCAAAGCAATATATTTATGGAAGATGAGCTGTGGAAAAAAGCTTGTGCCAAATTGAGGGTGCAGAATGTACCCTTTGAAAACCACATGAGAGATCTTGCACATGCATAAGAAAGCTATTTGAAACTTACATATGTCTATCTTTTTAACTAACAATTGGTTGTGCCATAAAAGCACAAGGCGAGATGGAGGAACTTCATAAATTATCGACAAATTAGGCATGAAGTTTAAAAGCTCTGACTTTCATTTCCTCTTGTGGTCAAACACGGTTTACAGTTGTCTCTATTATTATGGGTTCTTCTTATTTCCTCTGTGACTGCACTTCTTCAAAACACTCCATCAGCAGCACACACGGGCATTACAGAAACCGCAGTGGGACCGTTTAGTCCATTTCTAGAATACACTGAGGCCATGTTCTTGATGTTTTTCTTGAATCTTTTGTGCGTCATGGGTAGAAAAAAAAAGGGATTAAGATTGTTTTGATTATTGCTATAGTGCAGGGATCCTCAAATCTGGCCCACGAGATCCACTTTCCTGCAGAGTTTAGCTCTAACCCTAATCAAACACACCTGAGCATGCTAATCAATGTCTTCAGGATCATTAGAAAATCACAGGTAGCTGAGTTTGATCAGGGTTGGAGCTAAACTCTGCAGCGCATTGGACCTCCAGGGTAAGATTTGAGGAACCCTGCTATAGTGCAATAGGTCAAAATGGCAATGGCTACAATAGCAATTATATGCATGCTCTACTTCATTATGCGTATATGCAGATCTTTATTTGGCATCTAACAGAATATGCATCTAGATTTTCACAATTTATTAAACGTGAGTGGTGAAAGATGTTCACTTGCAATTTTAAACGGCAACTGCAAGAAAAACATCAGAATAGTGAAAAAAAAAAAAAAATCACAATTACCTTTTTGGAAAACAAAACCAATTTGGAGATGTAAAATCAGAATTGAGAGAAAAAAGGCTGAATTATAAGATATTAGGTGTTTGGTGTATAAAATTCTGTGGTGGAAAAGAGCTTACATGCAAATCAAAGAGCCCACACCAACAGCAAAAAATCTGTTAATAAAACTGACCGATAATTATTTTAATGTTATGGCTGATAATTGATAAACGGCTGATATTAAAATAAAAATATATCTTTTAAGTGCTATATGTGAATTTGTGTGTTACAAAATTTGGATAATGTAAAATATGAAAAATAGATAATCATTTAGAAATTTGTTAGATTCAACAAACATTTAACTATTAAATTAAAGTGTTTGTTATGTTAATTTTAATTGAGCATTAGATGACAGCAAAGTAATCGAAGTGTAAAAATAGCAGAAATGAGCATGCACAATTGATTATCTAATAGACTGTTAAAAAATAATAACCAATAAACTTTCTGAAAATTGTAGTATCAGCCTGTAACTGATATAATACTGACTATATATATTGAGCCTGTCTGGGCATAACTGTGCCTTAAAGATATTACCTTCCAAAACATCTGAATGTCCCATAAAATGTGGTTACCAACTGCTTGAAAACTCATCGTTTAATATTCCATATACTTATACGTTTAATATAATATAATATAATCACTTTTGCCTATAGTTCTTGATTGACACAGTAATGTAATTAAGAGGACTCAATCACATGCTTTCATTAGAGTGGAAGTGGGTCAGCAGAAGAGTGGGTCTTTGAATGAATGACTGGAGCAAACCAAGCTGGCAGGAGGGAGGGAGGAAAAGATGGGCTAATCTCTTCTACAATGAATAACAACCCCAAGCAAGATGCAGAGCACATGCTGAACAAGCCTAGGGAGAAAGAGAAAGAGAGAGGTGTACGGCAAGCCACAACGCAGCTGCTAAATGAGAGTTCATTGAACTCTGGAAGCCCTGCCTGCATTGCCTGATGTGATCTACACCAATAGGCGACCAGAACAGAACACTGATGAGAAAGGAGAAACGACGACCACATTTTCTGAGAAAGTGTGGCTGGATGTCAAATCCCACAGAGAGGAGACCTGCTCAAAGAGACAATGTGAATAATAGCCCTGGACTGGCTGTGAAACTTTTAAAAGTTGCTGAATGGGCCCTGTCTGAAAATAATGCTGTATGATCTACATTTTTAAAGCAATCCTTCACTACTTTAAAATGTCAAACCGACCCTATAAATCCTATTTGCCAAATTAGGTTACCTACTATGTACCATACTAGAGCTATGCATCTTACTGTTTTCATTGTGGATTAGAGCATTTTCCTTTACAGTTGGTCATGGAGTAAAAAAACGGGCATCTACACGGTCAACAAACACACACTCCATGTCAATGGTGCTGTAAGCCAGAGTAGCTGCCACTAGCATTTAAACATAATCGAATGTGATGGGTAAATCCACCAGCAATGCAGGGCAGTGGGTTAATCTGTCCCGCAATCTGTTCATCTGAACTATAAAACAAGAAGAAAAAAAAGAACAAGCACGTGCACACACACAAGGCAATGACCATCCACCATTACTGTATATTGAAATAATCCGAACCATAGCAACATGCCATAACAAACCTACATTATTCAGAAGTTTAAGTATTAATTTGTTAATGAGTAATCAAAAAGACAGGTTGTGGAATTTATTAAACTAGCAGGAAGGATTAGCCATTACAAAATAACGAAAAACTTGATAACTTGGGTAATATAGTTAGATTTAATGGAATATCAGGTAAAGTCAGGGAATATCATATTGACGTTAAAAAATAAAATAAATAAATAAATAAAAATTGAAGTAGGCTGGGGAGTTGGATATGCATTTGTTATTGATTGGATTTTCAGATGTGGTACTCAAAAATGGAGGCCAATGAACGTGAACTTGATGGGGCAGGTTTAAAGGGTTAGTTCCCCCAAAAATTAAAATTCTGTCATTAATTACTCTCATGTCGTTCTAAACCCGTAAGACCTCCGTTCATCTTCGGAACACAAATTAAGATATTTTTGATGAATTCTGAGAGCTCTCTGACCCTCCCATAGACAGCAATGCAATTACCATGATCGAGGTCCAGAAATGTAGCAAGGAGATCGGTAAAATAATCCATGTGACATCAGGGGTTCAACCGTAATTTTACGAAGCTACGATCATACTTTTTGTACGCAAAGAAAACAAAAATAACGACTTTATTCTACAATTTGTCTCCTAAATAAACATAAGACCCTGGTGCCATTTTGGAGAATATCCACTGAACGTAAACAGCGTATGCTGTTCTGTGTCAGCTGCATCACGTGGAAAACCAATTTGGAGATGTAAAATCAGAATTGAGAGAAAAAAGGCTGAATTATAAGATATTAGGTGTTTGGTGTATAAAATTCTGTGGTGGAAAAGAGCTTACATGCAAATCAAAGAGCCCACACCAACAGCAAAAAATCTGTTAATAAAACTGACCGATAATTATTTTAATGTTATGGCTGATAATTGATAAACGGCTGATATTAAAATAAAAATATATCTTTTAAGTGCTATATGTGAATTTGTGTGTTACAAAATTTGGATAATGTAAAATATGAAAAATAGATAATCATTTAGAAATTTGTTAGATTCAACAAACATTTAACTATTAAATTAAAGTGTTTGTTATGTTAATTTTAATTGAGCATTAGATGACAGCAAAGTAATCGAAGTGTAAAAATAGCAGAAATGAGCATGCACAATTGATTATCTAATAGACTGTTAAAAAATAATAACCAATAAACTTTCTGAAAATTGTAGTATCAGCCTGTAACTGATATAATACTGACTATATATATTGAGCCTGTCTGGGCATAACTGTGCCTTAAAGATATTACCTTCCAAAACATCTGAATGTCCCATAAAATGTGGTTACCAACTGCTTGAAAACTCATCGTTTAATATTCCATATACTTATACGTTTAATATAATATAATATAATCACTTTTGCCTATAGTTCTTGATTGACACAGTAATGTAATTAAGAGGACTCAATCACATGCTTTCATTAGAGTGGAAGTGGGTCAGCAGAAGAGTGGGTCTTTGAATGAATGACTGGAGCAAACCAAGCTGGCAGGAGGGAGGGAGGAAAAGATGGGCTAATCTCTTCTACAATGAATAACAACCCCAAGCAAGATGCAGAGCACATGCTGAACAAGCCTAGGGAGAAAGAGAAAGAGAGAGGTGTACGGCAAGCCACAACGCAGCTGCTAAATGAGAGTTCATTGAACTCTGGAAGCCCTGCCTGCATTGCCTGATGTGATCTACACCAATAGGCGACCAGAACAGAACACTGATGAGAAAGGAGAAACGACGACCACATTTTCTGAGAAAGTGTGGCTGGATGTCAAATCCCACAGAGAGGAGACCTGCTCAAAGAGACAATGTGAATAATAGCCCTGGACTGGCTGTGAAACTTTTAAAAGTTGCTGAATGGGCCCTGTCTGAAAATAATGCTGTATGATCTACATTTTTAAAGCAATCCTTCACTACTTTAAAATGTCAAACCGACCCTATAAATCCTATTTGCCAAATTAGGTTACCTACTATGTACCATACTAGAGCTATGCATCTTACTGTTTTCATTGTGGATTAGAGCATTTTCCTTTACAGTTGGTCATGGAGTAAAAAAACGGGCATCTACACGGTCAACAAACACACACTCCATGTCAATGGTGCTGTAAGCCAGAGTAGCTGCCACTAGCATTTAAACATAATCGAATGTGATGGGTAAATCCACCAGCAATGCAGGGCAGTGGGTTAATCTGTCCCGCAATCTGTTCATCTGAACTATAAAACAAGAAGAAAAAAAAGAACAAGCACGTGCACACACACAAGGCAATGACCATCCACCATTACTGTATATTGAAATAATCCGAACCATAGCAACATGCCATAACAAACCTACATTATTCAGAAGTTTAAGTATTAATTTGTTAATGAGTAATCAAAAAGACAGGTTGTGGAATTTATTAAACTAGCAGGAAGGATTAGCCATTACAAAATAACGAAAAACTTGATAACTTGGGTAATATAGTTAGATTTAATGGAATATCATGTAAAGTCAGGGAATATCATATTGACGTTAAAAAAATAATTAAATAAATAAATAAAAATTGAGGTAGGCTGGGGAGTTGGATATGCATTTGTTATTGATTGGATTTTCAGATGTGGTACTCAAAAATGGAGGCCAATGAACGTGAACTTGATGGGGCAGGAAAAAAATGAACCTAGCATTAAAAATATCTAGAGTTTAAAGAAATATCTGCATCTCCATCTATATTGTGATTTTGGCCTGTCCCACTAACAACATTTTGGTTCCAGTTGCATTCATCTAAGTGAAAGCTTCCATTCAGGTGCAGATTTTATTATTCAGTTTACATTAATATTACTCTTTTCAGTATGCATTGTCTATTTAATTTTGATGTGTATTTAATGTTAACTGCAGAAAAAAACACAAGATGGTATAAATGACAGACCCTATGAAAAATAAATAAAACAGCTCACATAATTTTCTGTCTGACCTCCTAAAGGTTGATCATCGCCATCTTCTGAAGGTTAAGCACCTTTCACTGACCATTTGTTAAAAAATACTTAATATGTAAGAGTAGCTGCATGCTAGTCAGGGGTGCGTTTCCCAAAAGCATCGTTAGCTAACTATGGTGCTTCGTTCCATTGAACTCTATTGGTAACGACGGAACTTGCTACCATTGTTGCTTTTGGAAACGCACCCCTGACTGCCTTTAACTGAGTCTTTGTCAACTCAACCACGTTGGGCTCGAGCAAACTGCCAAGAACAGTCTTTTCTCTTGAGCCGCATGCAGAGTCAGGACGTTTCGACCTGAAAGCACTGCATTTGCAAACACTGCAACTGTAAATGGTGTTTTAAATAAAACGACGGGGTTAACGTTACTAAAGGTTTTATGTGGAATTCATTTAAGACAGATAACGGTACTGACTGTAAGCGGTCAACCCCAAAATAACATATTTTAATTTAGATTTACAGTAATTTGGTTTTGCCGGTTCGCTGCATTGGGCTCATTGAGCTGCCCCTTTCCCTTATGCTAGCTTGCTAACCAACCCATGCGCCCACCTTCATTGTGCATCAAAACGAAACGGAATCCGCGGACAAAACGTGGTATGCAACGAGGAATGTTTTACCTCAAGAAAATGCCTTTGTTGCGCCATCACTGATGAAATTGACGTCTTTTCCGAACTGGAAACCGGCACTCGTCCTTGAAACTGCCCACAACGCAACCTATGGCCAGCACTGTGACTGCACTTGAGGGGAAAGATGTATGACAGCTGAGCTGCCCAACGCTGTCATTCTGGGTAGAGCCACTAAGGGTCGTAGTTAGATAGATTGTGAGAAAAGGTCAGACCCAAGCTAAAGGTTGTGATGGTGTGGTTACGTGAAGAGGGAAGTTGCTATGCAAATTGTTAAGTATAGCGTTTATCTATAGCACCTTGCAAAATAATAATAACAATAATAATAATAGCAATAATAATAAATAAATAAAAAATGAGAAACTTCGTGACTTTCGTCTCGTTATAATAACATCTCATTGTAATGACATTTTCCCTCATAATAATGCTATCTTATCGTAATAATGACTTATCATAGACTGTGTATTTAAAGTGGTAGGAAAAATATTCTCTGACTTTTAGCCAGTCAGAGAACTAGCCAATCATAAACGCTCTCTGCCTGTCAATCATTTTCACCGTCAGGTTTGGTGACATCGCATTGGATGAGATGTTCTAAGAAGGCGGGGTTTAGAGTGAGAGCGTGAGTTTGACGCAAAATGGTTGAGTTCTTTACATTGCCGTTTGCAAACCAGTTTCATGTAACATTTCAGAGATGTCAGTCAAAATAAGTGGACAAAAAGAAATGTTGAATCTCAGGAAGGGATGTTTATTCATTTTAGTCGATTCGTTGCTACATTAATGCTAGCTGTATAGATAAACAGCTTAAAACAACGTAACAAAGCTTTATCCCATATAAGGAGCGTTTAATATAATGCTTCTAGTGTGCAAGACTGACTATATGACTAGCAGATGATCACTGGACATTAAATGAAACATTGTATGTGCTTGATCTTTGGATAAAGATTTAGCTCCATGGTAGAACTACTAAAGAAAACTATTTACATTAAATTCAGCTCACTAATCTGGATGATCAGTTGATGTCTGCAAGCAAGATCTTTTTAAGTCTTGTCCAGACATCCTGCTGGGTCTTAATTGTGTATTCACAAAGGAACAAAAACATTTGCATTCATATTCTGGACACGTTCCTCTTTAATTATGCTAGTGTGTATAACAAAATGTATCCTTATTTCGTCATTTCTTCCTATGAAATCCTGCAAAGTTATTCTGAAGGAGGGGTCCAAGTCATATCCAGCAACCAGAATATCATAGATTCTTTGTCTAGCCCCTTTTGACACACGGTTTAACTTTTGAGTGTGAAGAAACCTTCTAAGAAAGGGGTTTTGCACATTTACAAAGTACAGATCTAGTTCAAATTGATTTATGTTGTTAATGGGCATCCATTTTTTTGTTAATACTGTGTTCTCAACAGCAAATCTGATCACATGACTCCAGGACAGTCACAGATCAGGGCCTTTTCTGAGTCAGCCACATCAACTGGCATCAGTATTCAGAGTGAGTACAGCTGAGGTTGCCATGCCCTTTCCCATCACTCATTGTCTGCCTATTGCAAGCTGTGGCCGTTGATATTTACAAGTCAAAGATCTAAAGAAATGTCAAGAATGCATATACGTGTATTAAAGACTTTCTCTGATTTCATTGTTGAGTTCTAAAGAGCTAAGGCTTATGCAAAAGTTAATAATTTGAAGTTTCATGTGCTTATATAAAGCTTCGAAGTTAGCTTTTTCCATATAATGCATTCAGTTTAAATATTTATATTCCCTTTTTCAGGAAAAGAAACTAACTGGTATAACTGAAACATTGTAAAAATGTCAATAAATAATTTTTAATGACAAATTAAGCAAATACATGTACTATTTTAAATAAATGACGTTTTTTTATAGTTGTGAATTAAATATTATTTTACTTTAGTCTAGTATTATATACAGTGTTATGGGTGGTTTCCAGGATAAGTTGCTTTCTTATGTTGAACACAAAATAAGATATTTTGAAGATTGCTGGTAATCAAACAGTTGGTGGTTGCCATTGACTTCCATAGTATTTTTCCCCCTACTATCTACTACCTACTATCTTCAAAATATCTTCTTTTATGTTCAACATAAGAAAGCAACTCATACAGGTTTGGAACGACATGAGGGTGAGTAAATGATGACAGAATTTTCATTTTTGGGTGAACTATCCCTTTAAGGAGTATATTTATCAAAAAGCAAAGTAAAAACATCCTTAGAACAAGATAAATTAAACTGATTATCTTAACTATACTAAAAAATATTTTTCGGAATATAAAATGAAGATTAAAAATAAATAGTATTTTAGTCTTTCTACTTTAAAATTTCATGTTAAATTTAATGTATCACCTGATTTGTGATTATTTGTGAAGTTTACTGCCAATTTCTGAGTGAAAGTTATTTCCACACCATTTCTTAGTATATGTAGGATATTTAGTGAAAAAGTTAAAAATAAAACGACAAAATATTCAAGATATATTCTCTATTATCTCTTATGCTTGATCACGGAAATCTTAAAGGCTCTTTGTACGCCCATTCCCCAGTGTAATGTTTTTGGGGTGTGTGACAGTGCCAGTTCATGGGTGATGACTTGGGTGGTATATTTCAGATCTAAGTGCTCCTGCCGCCATGAATCATTATCAGTCTGACTCGGGGTTCCGGAAAAAGCTTGTTTCCTGATCTGCATTGCATTGTAAGTGCCTGTAAAGGGTTGCGGGTTGTCTATACCACAATGCTGTGTCATTGTTATGACATTTTGCTCTTTTTTTTTGCACTCTACAGAAATGGAAATTATCCGTATGTGAAATTGATAAACTTCTTGGAATCTTAAAGGAATAGTTCGCCTGAATATAAAATTTGTTGAAAATGTACTCACTCTCAGGCCCCTTAGGTCATCATAAATGAGTTTCTTCATCAGAGCAGATTTGGAGAAATTTAGCTCTACATTAAGATTAGACTTGCTCAACAGTGGATACTCTGTAGTGAATGAGTGCCATCAGAATGAGAGTTCAAATAGCTGATAAAAACATTACAAACTTAGCTTTTCACTTCACAAGACATTAATTAACGGACTTTAGTCGTATGAATTACTTGTAGATTATTGTGATAAATCCATCATTAAGAAACTTTTAACATTAAACCATTGCTTCTGGCTATAATATTGTTGTGATGTTTTTATCAGCTGTTTGGACTCTCATTATGATGGCAGCCATTCACTGCAGAGGATGGTGAGCAAGTAATGTAATGCAAAATTTCTCCAAATGTCTTCTGAAGAAGAAACTACCTCATCTAAATCTTGGATGGCCTAAGGGCGAGTACATTTTCAGCAGATTAAAATTTTTGGGTGATTTTTATCCTTTAAGATAAACAGCATGGAGATTGTGCACAGCTGTATTACTGTTTTGGCTAAGCTCAATGAGACTGACCTTAATGACACTGTGCCTCTTTAAGAGGCAGTCTGGCACGACTAGGGCTCATTAGATAACTACTGATGGCAATCCACTGATCAGCATGGCCGCCTGGCAGAGATGAGAAGTATTACATAACCTGAAATGAGTGTAAATTGGAAGCTAATTTTCAAACTCTCTAAGAAAGATGCCCATTTCTATTAGATCTTCAAGTAGAAACCAGAATTTGCAGGTAGAAATGATCTTTGACAACATAGAGTTCCTATATCAGAAACTCATATGAAGGGCTGAAATGTTGCTGGGAGTTTAATTTTATGTGAAAATGAAGTAGTATTGGACGAAATTACCATGTTTTTGATTAAAGCTGAGAAAATGGTCTTCCCCTTGAGACACACTGGTCATTTAAAAGTCAATGTCTGGCCAGCACAGAGAGCTTTTGTGCTTTCCTTCACAATGCTATCACCAAAAGTCCTGACCAGACTGGCTGACCAAAGAAGCGAGGGGGGTTACTGCTTACCTGTGGACTTATAAAGCAGCTCTTGTGCCGACTTCAATGAACTCTGCTTTTAGGATTTAGCATCATTTACCTGCAGAAGAACTGCACAGGAACCATGCAAACCTTCTGCTAGAGACCTGAGCCAACGCTTCTTCTGGATTCTGCATTGGGATGGTACGAACATTAATTCTAAATCAAATATTATGGTGCGTTTGTATTGAAAATAATCACGTTAGCATTAAATATAGACAATTCAGGTCATGAGTGAGCTTGTATCATGTATAAAATCTTGAACGGAGACATTTTAGGCAAATGTAACGGTGCACTCTTTGTTCAGTGTTATGAAATGGCAGCTGTTGGTGTAATCTTCATTCTCCTACCCATGACATGGGCCTGTGTCCCTCAGAAAGCTGGTAAATGCATCATATTTTTAACATCCCCTCTCATTGTGGATCAAAAGGCTGTGTATTTGTTGTTGGCATGATTTAATTGGCTAGATAATCCTGACCAATTTGTCATCTATTTCAGATTACGTAATCTTCATTCTCCTACCCATGACATGGGCCTGTGTCCCTCAGAAAGCTGGTAAATGCATCATATTTTTAACATCCCCTCTCATTGTGGATCAAAAGGCTGTGTATTTGTTGTTGGCATGATTTAATTGGCTAGATAATCCTGACAGACCAATTTGTCATCTATTTCAGATTACGTCATGGTGTCATGTTTTCCAAATGCCATCATTGCAAACGTGCCAGAATGTCCATATGGATGGGAGATTGGCCAGCTGTCACTGGGCGGCGTGTGCTACGCTGGCATTAACACTCCGGGCTTCTATCGTTTCACCATCCCAGACCTGACTCCAAAGAATCACTCGTACTGCGGCACCCTGTCTGAGGTGAGCCGTTTGATTGGTTTAATGTATCCTAAATATTATTTAATCAGAAAAAGAGCTTAAAATGGATTGGCTTCTATCTTCTTCTCAGTATGTAGGAGGTAAAGACCCACGGTACATATTCTACAACTCAATAGTATCCAACGACTCCTCTCTCACTGTCCGGAACCAGCCCGTCAACTACACATTCAGTTGCACCTATAAAGCGGCTTATCTGGTCAACAATGCTGTTTTTAGCCAAAGGTAGATCCCGTTACACTGACGTCAAGTCCAGTAGGTGTAGATTTCATAGAACCTGTGCATTCTGACCGTTGACTTGCAGCGTCTTTACTAAACCCTCTGCTTCTTCTAGAGTGGCAACAGTTTATGTCAACAACGGGAGTTTAGGTTCTTTTAAGTCTCAGTTGTCTATGAATGTGTTCACAGTGAGTACTTACACTTTCCTTAAACGTGTCCAGTGATGACGAATATACAAAAGGGAAATTTCCTTTCCATTTTATTTGTGCGATTTTGTATAAAGGATATTTTTCCCAACAATTACTGAAAATGCCTTAGTAAGTATATAATAAAATAATATAAAATAAAAAATGTTAAATGTAGTATTGTATTTGTATTATATTTATTATTATATATTTGTAAAATAAAAAAATAATATTTATTTTTGTTTTACAAATATATTAATTATATATATATATAACACTGAATGTGTTTTTTTTTAACTTTGGTGTTTGTAGAACTCAAAGTTCCTCTATGCAAAAGATGCACCGTATGTGATTGACACATCAGAGATCGGATCTGAGGTGTTCATTGGCATTGAAGCAAAAGGACTTAGTAATCGGTGAGTTGCTCAAAAGAAAGTTGTGTAATTTGATCAAATACACAGATAGTCAGTGTAAAAGACTCTCTATTAAATGTCTATAGATTCAAAGTAGTAATAACAAATTGCTGGGCAACACCTACTCCATATTCAACAGACAGGAAACGGTGGACTTTAATTCTGAACAGGTAAGGTTTTATTGTCAGTTCAAACATAATAGATGTTACTGTGATTCAATACTGCTCACATATATTTGCTCTGGGTTGACAGTTGCTCTTTAGACAACACAGTCACCATATTTGAAAATGCCAAAGACAGTCAGTCCATGTTCAAGTTCAACTCGTTCCGCTTCCAGCGGCTAGAGAAAGTTTCCACCGTGTGGCTCCACTGTGAGGTCCAAGTATGTGATGGGGAGAAGCTATTCTGTCAGCCGGTGAGTATCAGCATCAATTTAATGCTGTTGTAGTTTCAAATAGATTTCTGGCTCCATTGAGACTCCTCTTAACTCCGTCCAAGACTCCATGTACATCAAGAAGCACTGAATTTGAACCTGATCCAAATGGAGGGATCCTGACCATGGAGTTTCAAGTCAGAGGTATTTAACATTTTTACTTCTGCATGATTCCAATTTGATATTCAATAACATGTATTTAAAACCTCATAACTCTGTTTACAGCACAACACTCCTCTAGTTATATTCATCCTGCAGGTAAGTTAGAACTATCAATGCAATGCAAGACACATGATTTTCATATATTGATATATTGTTTTTAAGTACACCACAGTTTTACAGCATTACAGCTGATTTTATATTCATTAAAAATCCTTTTTTCAGATTTTTTAAAATTAATTTTAAATTATCTATGCTAAATATATATGATATAAATAATGCTAAATATTTCCTGTTCTTATTCTTCTATTTTACAGGCCCATTTCTGTGTATGCTGTCCATATTTCTACTGAATGAATATTTAGGATACTTCAGTTGGTAATGGGGCCAGATGTGTGTCATTCAAATGCATTGAATCATGCCTTTGCACTCATACAATTACATTCAAATATTTCAAAATAGACACGCATGCATGCATACACCCACACACAGCAACCATACGTGTCTCAGGGAGTGTATCGACACATTCCTTTAAATGTTCACTTGCAGTTTTTTTTATTTATTTTTTTTACTGTTTTTTATTTGGGTATTCCTTGCGTGAATATTGGTAGAACGAGAAAATAATCTCTGAAGCAGGTATTATCAATTGTTAATCTTTAGTTTAACAGAAAGAGACATATTCTTGTTTTTATCTTGTTTGCATGTAAAAGTATTTTGAAATATTTTAGTAATTAAATTCTATAAAAATATTTTGTCTTGACATTTTTTCCCTTTGTATTTAAAAAAAATGCATTTTTAAATAAAATTGTTGTTTTTTGTGATAATGTCCTATAATCCAAGAGTATATATAAAATCATGGTCAAACTAGATATCGGGTACAGTAAGTGTGTGCATTTCTGTCATTTTAGCCATGGCTGGAGTCCTCTGGATTGCTCTTCTGTCTCCATCATTCATTGGGGTTGCTTTGGTTTTCTCCTGTTTAGATATGACATGGCGAGACTGTCCAAATACAATGAGTCAGGTCTTCATATAGTACTTCCTTTTAATTAGCATGAACACCTCAAACTGCTACAATCATGAAATATAAAAAACATAAGTGGCTTGATACTTACATCTGTTCCTGACTTAGGACTTGCATCACAGTCCTGGCCAATGGGTGGAAAACTGAATCCAGATTTGCTTATCAACCAGAACGTTTTCTGTGTTCCCTTTCCCTAGAAAATACAACAGAGATATGATTAGATGCACAGACATGGCATGACAGTAAACACTGTTAACTGTACATACAAGTTTGAGGCCACTATATTAAAAAATTATATTAATATAATTTCAATCATGACAACTCTCGGAACATTTTAGCATGGTGATGGATATGACAATGTTAATGCATTTGGTCTTGGCGGAACAGATCTGCTACGCTGCTGCTGCTGTTGGTTATTGCTGTAGTTGTAGATTATTGCTGCTGCTGCAAGCGAGTACAGGAACTTGCTACTGCCAGTGCATATGGCGATACGATGCCGTGAGTATTTAAGATGTGCTGCTGCTGCACAGATAGCATATAAAATAACCCCCCAACAAAGCTGGAAGACACATTTAAATATGTATGCTGCCGCTATACAATAATATGCTTAAAATAATCCCTATAAGGCAGAAGGAATATAAAAGATAAAACCCCCCAGAACAAGCAGATCTATTGCCAAGACATATGTACTGCTGCTGCTCCGGAGAGCCATGAGACCGTGTGTTTGCTATCTATGTGAGCCTGGGAATGGCTTAACGCTAGTGAACTATTGCTGTGTGTACCTGATTGGTTGACCAGATAGCTTAAACTAGTGACCTGAGTTAAATGTTGTTCTGCCTCAGAAGCAGCTGCTCATTTATTTTGATAATTTAAAATATTTATATTGCATATTAAGAACAATAATGTTTGCATTGTATGAACACGTCATTGCTAAATGCGTGGCTCGTTCCAAGATGGCCTTGAGCAAGACACTACAGTGACTTTATTTAAATGCAGTTGTCTGCTTTTATATTGTGTCTAAATTAAAATTTGCAACATAGAAATGCTGTGCATGCTGCTGAGAAAAATCTCGATGACTGAATGCCTATGCAAGCTGCTGCTACTGCACAAGAGACTGAACTGCTGAGAGCTCCATTAATTAGGCATACGAATAGCTAGAGGTAAAGCGGTCTGTAATGTATGCAGTGCGATACGGCCAACGCAACAAAACTTCTGCTACTGCTGCTATTGATAATATTCACTAACATTTCAATACGGAGTTGAAGTACGTGCTGTTGCTGTTAATGATATTCACAATGTTGTAGTAGGAATTTATTGTGCGAGCTGTTGCGGTTGTAATATTTAATCAGAATTTGCGAAGCGAAATCTACTGCTGCTGCACAAAACTTGCTGTAAGCCCTGTTGAATAGGCAAAGTAATAAATACCTATTGCACTTTAAAGAGTTACTTTACCCTCCATGAGTTATCACTAAAATTTTATGCAACTAAAGCGCTTTCTGCTGCCACTGCTATATTAGACATAATAATGACTTGCTATACATGCTGCTGCTAATATTATTTCTAACCTTGCATCTGAATTTGCTATGCATGCTATACAATTTGCTGACATTGCGATCTGAATATCTATGCATACTGCTGCACAAAAGTACTTAGAATTGCACTCTGTGCTCCTCAACCTCCAAGATGGGCAGAAGCATCATGATCCTCATCCTCAAACACTAGGTCCTGTGGTCTAATCCTGTAAACTCTAAAAATGTTAAAACCACCTTAAACATCTGACTATCACTCAAACCCTTTCCCAGAAGGTCCACGACACTCACTGGTCTGTTCCTTATATTGCTAAAAAGACTGTTACGCTGATCTTCATATTTACTACATT